ACATGCGCGGGGCAAGGCTAGCGGCTAGACTGACCAAAGATGCGCACCAGGCTGAACGGTCTGAGCACCTGGCATCTCCCTCCAAGTCCACGTACTCTCGATAGCCAAGCACCGCCTCATGAACACCGGAGAAGCAAAAGTTTTGGCAAGGCAGTGCAAATGCCCCACTTGTGCTAAACTAGGAGGTTGGCAAAGGAGCAAACGCAGTTACCAGCTTCGGGGGCAGTTCGCTTGTGCTTTGTCCCTTCCATTGTCCGAAAACGACATCGTCGACAAGAACTGCTTCAGATCCCCACCCACCCATGGCTGGGCTGGCTACGCCAGTGCAGTTGTGGAGCTTGAGCTCTATCGCATGTGGTGTGTTTGCGCGTGCGTGCGTGTGTAACAACCCGCCGAGTTCCAAGCGCAGACGCACGAAAGGAACTGGCTCAAGACAATTCAACTGCCCCATCAACTCATGTGCGAGCTAGCCCTTTCATGATGATGGGGGCTTAGCAGGTGCCACAACCTCTGCCATCAACCGCGGGGCTAGCAGTGCTCAGCTGGAATGAGCCGAGCCGGTGCCCCGCGCGAAGTGCCAGTTGCCCTCCGAGCAGCTAACACATAGCCACCGACGGACCGAGAGCAGGTTGTGCTCCGGGCCGCCAATTTGCGGCTTCCGTTGCTTCCTTTTTCAATCTTCTTCCCGTCTCCCCTCCAAAACTGGGCAGCCCTGCGTTCGCGCCGAGACGCCGCACCTGGCAAAGGTGGGCACCGCCTTGGGGCCCTGGAGAAATCGATAAACCTCTTTGAGGCGATCCCGTCGTCAGGTGCTCACGGGCTATTGCTGAGTCACATTTGCTGAGTCAACGCTTCAACACACATAACAGCATCAGACTCAGTATCAAATCCAATGGAAACGAACACCGTGTTCTCATCATCATCAGTACGTGCTGAGGCACGGGGATAACACTGTTGACTGCCTTCAATTGAAATTCTACTGCGGCAGCAGGCCAGTGAAGGGCACCAAGCATCTGCAAAAGCAAGTGGACCCCAACACAACATGAACTTAGAGAGCAGCTCCTGTGACAAAAGCGCTCTGAGGCCTAAAGCAATCTTACGGGATACCTGCGCAGTCCATTCAACTCAAGGAGAGGTTGGGTCCGGTCATAAGCCCCTCCTGGCTCAGCGAATGGTGAGCCGCACCTGGCCTGCTTCCCCAGTTCTCTTCGCGCGCGCATGGCCGCGTTGTGGAAGACCCTGGACTCAGCTTGGCTGAATGAAATGGTGCGGCAAAGCTGGAGGTTGAGCAATGCAAATTCTGCTTGATTGAATGCCAAATGGTTCCCGACCTGCTACAACGCTCCACTGATCCGCTATCTTTCTCATTGATGATTCGCCCGCCCAACTGCCGGCAGAAGACGCTCGGGGGCTGCACGGGGCGAACAATCTGATTTCGCCCACTTTCCCAAAGTAAATTGGCCGGCCTCAGGCGCTCTTCGTTGGAGGAGCGGTCGGAGCGGATCAGGTCCCGCCAGTTGTACTCCGGGTCCTTCGCACAGCTGCTCAGAGAAAAGCTGTGCTTTCGCTCAAAAGAAAGCGGATAGTGGCTGCTTGAAAGCGTGCAGGGTAGTCCCAGAACTGGAGAGGCATGAAATATGGGAAAGAAGTGGTGGGATGTGTCAACATTGCCTCGACAGAAAAGGCTGGCAGTCATATCTTTCACACTTCTTTCCCCGGCTTGGACTTGAGGCAAATAATGCAGAAATGCCCAAAATTCGCGTTCCCGAGCCACTTGCAAGATCGCACAAAGTCGCCTGCACCACCCGCAGCTCTTCCACCAAGCCCAAGAGCTGCTCCACCAGGAAGACCCCGGGCCTCGCTGCGGTCGCTTTGAGGGCCAGAGAGCCCATGTTTCTCGCAGAAACGAGCGCCGGTGCAGCGTTGGTGACAAAGAAATGGGCAAAACTCAGAGCTAGACTCAGCCTGATTCACACGCAAACCTCCAACAGTGGTGCATCAACTGCAAAACTGACTTCAGCTTTGGAACTGGGAGTACGTCGAATCTTTGTGGGTGGGCCGGATGGCCAGATGGCTGGAGGGCTGAGTGACGGGAGGGAAGCATGGCCGAAGGGCCAATTGGCCGAAACCCTAAGCCCTTTCTAAACCCTGCCAAACCGCAGACAAAACCGACCCCAAAAACCAACCCTGAACCGCCTGAACCAATCCTAAACCAACCTTAACGCCGCAAGCGTGCGCTGGACACAGGAGGCGGAGGCCAGATACCAACAAATTATGTTGCGCGAACTGGATGCAAGCTCCAAATGAGAGCTAAGCATATTCTGCTGGAATCTTCACATGGCTACCGCCAAAGCATGCCAAGAAGTCAACCAACTGTTCTCGGACTCCATACCACCAACAATGGTATGCATGAGCTGCACAAGTGACCTGTCAAAAACCGGCGCCCCACCAGCCACTGGAGCAAAGCACTGGCGCACCTGGCATAAACTAAGACTGACTGCGCCTGGCCTAACCATCCTGAGCCAGGTCCTGAGCACTCGGCTGAGGCGGCGTGGCGATGGAGAAGAAGCGCACTCCCACAGAGGAGGCGAATCCTGGGACCAGGCGCGGGCATCCAAAGCATTCAAGAAAAGATGTTGAAAAACAAACAGCTGTTTGGCTCGGGGGGGGGGCAACGCAAAATTCAGCACCCCGTGCCGGTACTTCTCTGTACCTCATTGGGAGGCACGCCCCCCGTTTTGCTAGGGCTGCGGCGGTCATTGTACGACTGGTCCCCAACAAACTGCATCTTGATGGAGACCTTGTGCCGGATTCATGCTTTCTGGGTCTTGCCCACAAGCACCCTCCTGCTCAGAATGCAAAATATTGGAAAAGAATCCCATCGCCGACCAAACCACCGCATTGTTACAGTTGTTCATGACACTGGCGAAGGGGGAACTTGTAACCAGCCCCACGTCTAAAGTGTTTCCAAGCGGCCAGGATCCGGCCCCGCACGCCCGTCATGGTGTCGAAGAGGGGGAACCAGCCTGGCAGAAATTGAAGGCTCGGTGTTGGCCGTGCCGGCCCCAATCTCAAAGGAAGCACGGCTTGTCAAATATCAGGGAATCAGCTATATATATATATATATATATGTATACATATAATGCGTCAATTGTCTGACCAGATATTGTTTCACATCTAACAAATACAAGCAAATGGTCCAGCCTTTCATGCTGACCACTTCCTCGGCTCAGACATACAAGAGCTGATCGAAAGCTCCGGCACAGGAAACCAGGCAGGCTACATTGATCTTGCTGAGTCGAAGAATTCCCTCAGCGCTCATATTGTCATCTGAGATGCATCAGGGTCTACTTCCGTCCGGCTGTGCAGGATCTGCTCCAAGTTGATCATGACAAACCCATAATCCGGAGGTCCTGAAGCGCCAAAGCGACACATTTGCCAAGGCAAAAAACGAAACATCTAGCTCCCCAGGTCACAATTTCCGGGACCCAGCCTCTCGATATCTCTCGATTCCTTCTTGCAGTTGGGCCCTAACTTAACTTCCCGAGCCCGGCTGGGTCTCTCTATGCTTTCCTGGGCAAGTGATAGCTCGGGGTTCCCGTGGCCTGTCTCCGAGCTGCACAGCCCAAGCCGCAGCGGATAATCCTGAAGCTGGAAGTCCTCAGCCCAACTTCCGTCTGGCTGCAGCCTTTGGTGGCTGGGGCCCTGCCTTATGCGCGCTTTCCACAGGTACACTCTGGGACCGCTGCATCTGTCAGCTCGATGGACATGATTGAGTTGTCCCATACCTGATTGAGCAGCTGGCTGCTTCACAGGCTGGCAAAGGTCACACAGCATGGACTCGGCAATCGCGAGGTCACCGCCACTCTAGTGATCTTTTTCTCCCAGGTGGCCTAGCTAAAGTGCACTTGCCAACCTTGCAGATCGCGAAACAGGCGAGGAGCCGGGTTCTCTGGAGAGCCGGTGCTCTTCTGCGACATGCGGACATGGTCGTTGAAGGACACCTCCACATATTTGCCGTCCTCGCGTTGCAGGGCTCGGTCCACAAACCACCCCCCTCGCCCCTGCCGGACCGATGGATCCAGCGCTCTCCTCGTCGCGATCGCAGCACAGCCCGCAGGCCTGGTGGATCCGAAGCTTGATGCTGCACGGCCTTGGACCGGCCAGCAGAATTTCAGTAGACTCATTTCTGGTGCAGTGCTTGTGTGCCACGTCACTTGTGTCTCTGTTTTGGAGGACCTTGCTGAAGACATCAGGAAACTCGTGCGGAATGGACATTGCAACTGCGAGGTGTTCACTTCTTTGACATGGGGGACAGGACCGTGCTGGAGCCAGGCAAACCACTTTACACTGACACCGAGTGGCGGCGCCCTGCAAATGTCCCTGCCCTGTACGTACATGCGCCAAGCCACATGTCTGAAAGCCTCTTGAGGCCAGGCCCCAGCCATGGCGTCAAGGCATTGCCGCAACCCAGAACAGCGCCAAGCTATGGTGTGATGCGTTCGAATAAAAGAGTCGACTACGTGTAGTAGTGCTGTTGCGAAATGCAAGTCACTGTTCCAGAGCTGGAAGAAGCTGCTGCTGATGGCATCAAACTGCAAGCCGCATCGTTCTGTCCTTCGCTGCATCTGAAATGGATGTATGTTCAGAAGTGGCATGCCTGTTTTGCCCTCGGTAAATGCCCTGACATGTGGCACGGAGCCTGGCAGAAAAGGCACAAGGGACGGAGTGATCAGCTGGAAGTCACTTGGCCCAACTTTGCCCACCCCCTCGTGTCACAGGAACCCGGCAAGAAAAGGCCGCCTGAAAGAAAAACACTGAATGCAGGCCCCGATCCATGATCTCTGCTGGTATAAGAAAGTGAAAACCTTTTGGGTTGGACATACGGCAGCTCCAAGACCGCATGCTTGCCGATTCGGAGCCCGCAAAGGAAAAGCAATCTTTCGGAGCCAGATTTCTTGGACCGCAGTCAGCTCACACAGAATGATATATCACTGAAACTCATGTCAAGCAGCGCAAAGCAACAACTTCAAACGATACGGCCAAAAGGATAAGAGAAACTGTAGCATGATCACAGGTCGGTGTTTTGCGTGCATCCTTACATTGTTCTTCCCTCCCGCTCCCAACAGGCGCTTCCCACCAGGTTCTACACATGACCAGGATGGGAATGGACAACTTGGTAAACAACGTTTGCCCTTGGCACTATGCCTCTCAGTTCCAAATGAACCTGCGCTTCAGAGGGGTTTGGGTCTCCTTAACTCATGCACGCATTAAGTTCCAGAGCAACTGCAAAGGCTGGGTAACTGTCCTCCTACCCAACACAAAGACTCCAAAAAGACACGATTCGTCCAGAAGACAGGATTGCCATCACCCCAACACGCTGGCAGCCCAGCGCGAGACCCTGCCGCCGGCAGGCTACCGGAGCGCCTCAAGGCTTAGGAAACTCTCCTTCTGAAGCAAAACGGAATGCGGGGCACATGCTAACTCATCCCGAGATTCATAGGTTTGCGATCTTGGGAACGTGCAAAACTTGCCCGCAAGCAAAGCAGGACATGCTCACTGTCCTTTGAAGATGTACATTACAAGGCCCGGTCTGAAGTTGCCTGTCTGAAGATATGAGAGCCCCTTTTGCAGCGAGTGTTGTTCCACAATGCATGTCAGTTTAATCGGCAACATCAACACCAGTCGCGATGCATACCTTCACTTGAGCTCACTTGCGTATGCAGAACCTATGGCAAAAGGGCCATGTGCGGCTGCCGGTTGCTTATCATGAGGTCCATGGTTCGCCGTTCGCCTGGCCCCGTCACACTTGTCACACGCACTTGTTCAACCCCGCGGCGCCAGACAGCCTCCTGCCTGCAGAAAGGCAGAAAACCTCAACTTTGTACATGGAGCTTCCGCTCAGAGTGACGCGCCCTGAGCCCCGCCGCTTCAAACCTGCCTGCAGCTTGGGTATGAAAGCAGCAATGTGCAAGAGTGTGAATGCGAATCGCGAAGAGGGATCTGTTTTTCGCCAGGCTGCAATTTCGTTGGGAGAGCCAGGCCAATGCATCAGAAATTTGCAGCCTTGTGCCGCAGTGCACTATAGATTGGTTTGTGCATGGAGCTGCTCATGATTCAACCTAGTTGTTGCAAGGGCAATACTGGCTGAACCAGAAGTTGTCATTGCGAGGGAAGTCAAGGTCAGTCAGCGTGAGCATGACAAAATGCATTTCAAATATGAACACGTCGCCCATTGCGAAAGCGATGGCACCCTCTCAGCAGCTCCCACTCGAATTTGCCATGCTGATCCGTGCTTGCCACACATCCTTTGTCTCCAAACATGGCTTCATACGCTTGGCAGTCTCTGCAGGTGTTGGAAAACAAGGAGGCTCACCCACTGAAAGACATTAATGGTTAATCACATGCACGCCGCCTGGTGAGCAGGCTGGGGCAAACTGTATGTATTCAACAAGCCAGGACGGCTCACGGGGTGCAGGCCGTCATGAGTCAAGGCAGTCTCTTCGCCACTCAGCGACTCACACTCATTCCCCGAAGCCGATCTCGATCTCATGCGGGGTCAAATTCTGAATGACCCACTGCCGCAGCAACACGTCCCCAAAGGCGTCCCCTTCCGACCTCTCAAAGTCCAGCATGTCGGACTCAAAAGGGTCGCGAGCTCCGGGGACGTTGGAGTCCACAACCGCGTACCTTCGTGCACTAGCAAGGAATGCCGTGAACATCTAACTCGGCACTGCCACAATCCGCAAAGCTGTTGCAAACAACAACCTGAGCAATCTGAAACCACTTGGACTCCGAGATCTGATCAGACCTGCGCCCTTCTAAATCTAGTTTACATTCTGGCGTTTTGGAGGGGCGTGTTTGCGTAGGGCCTTGGCATCTCGAACAAAGCCTGGAAACTCCACGGAAAGGTGGCCATCCAAACACTTAACGCAGTACAGTACACCACGATTGTTTTCAAAATGCAAAGGGATTCGGAGAATGACAACTTCTGAAAACTTGAACGGGCACAACTCTCTTCCTTCTTCCCTCCCTCCCTCCCTCTCGCTGTCTCGCTGTCTCGCGGTCTCTCTCTCCCTCTCTCTCTCTCTCTCTCCCACTCTCCACCCGTCCACCCCATGGCCGCTTTTCGCTATCCAAGGAGCAGGTGGCGCCAGAGCCCCACCCCGTCGTCCAGGCCCAGACTCGGCAGGCGCCGTAGCTCCAGGGACTCCTCGCGGAGCTCGCGGACCAGGAGCCGACTGTCCACCGAGGCCTCGATCGGCGAGGATGGCGGGGCGCCCGCGGGGAAAAAACAAAAACGGAAATCAAAGGGGACCTGGAGAAAACAGAAAACCAAGTCCCACAAAAGGGTCTAATGTCACGAGGCCCGGAAGAACAGAAGAACCCGTAGAAGACCCAAAGCAAATGCGTGGGGGAGGCGACAGCAAAACCATGGCCGCTGTCAAAGGGCGAGAGGAGCGGAAATGAATGAGGGAATGCGACGAGCAAAAATCAGGAAGGATAGAAACTCATGCACTGCCAAGAGGTCAACGCGCGCATCATTGGATGCTTAGATCCACTGAGTCACGTCCGGAAACAAGCTTGCAGTTGCAGGGGGATTTTCACTCAGCAAGCCTGCCTAGTTCCGAAACCGAACTTACCGAAAGCTTGTGATGAACTGGCCCTTGAGCGGCAAGTACCTGCCGTCTAAGCCGAACGAAGCCTCCGTGTTGCTCCCACAATTCTTCCCACAACTCCTCAAAGCAACGAGAAAGCGCCTTCTGCCTGCCCCGGGCAGTGAACAGAATCTCTAGCAACCCAGTTTGAAGTCCTGTCGATCCGTCACCTGTCTTCTTGAAAGAGTGTTTCCACTCACCTGACCTTCGAACAGCTCTTCAAAACCTTGCCGGCATCTGCTGCTGCAAAGCACAGGCGCCTGCCAACCTCCAAAAACAGACCAAGCCTCAAGCTGAGGCGCCATCTTCCAAACTCCGCGGTCCAGCTCACCCTGCAGCTGGTTTCTTCCCCACCCGCAGTAGCCGAGAAACAGCATGAAGTCCGATGCATCAGCGCGGCCCTGCGTCACCAGTTCCCTCGCCTTCTGAAAGCTGGTGAGGTAAACACCCCGAGTCACTTCTGTTGACACGTCTTTGAACCGATCTGAGACATGCAGGCAGTAGCTTCGCACGCTACCTTGGCCCCGTATGCCCTCGCAGTCACCGCCAAACCATATGTTCCAAACTGGGCCTTTGATGCCAAGCTGGGCCGTGTTGAAACCACTGGGCCGATTGATGATGATGCCCTGGTCGCCGTCATTTTCGTGCCGAAGCACCAGGATCACTGACTTGTGGAAGTACTGCTGGTGATCAACAAAGGTATCCCCAGGTCGTGCCATGAGAATGCTGCCAGTTTCAATCGCTGGAGAGGAGTAAGCCCATTCGCCAGCACTTCTCGTCAGTCCCGTCTCCACTTCAGACATGTCGGACATCTCAGATCCCGGCTCGCTGAGAATACCGACCAAACCGGCGAAGATCAACAGCCAGCCCAGGTCCCGGCGGGTCTTGGGCATGCCCACGGCGGGCTTCGGGCCCTTCCGCTTTGCCACCACCCGGCGCCCGGGCACATACCGCCTCTTTAGCGCCTGGTCCGCTTCCGCGCTGCGGGCCACATCCCGACGAGGCAATGCCCGGGGCCCCACGAAGCCCACGGGGACATGCCCAGCGCCCAGTGCGCCCAGCGCGCCCAGCAGGGCAAGGGCCAAGCCATGACGCAGCCGTGCCATGGCGCCAGAGCCCAGGCAGCTGCACAAAGCCCCAGTAACTCGCGACACAACTATACCATGATTGAGACAGCCAAGCATACTCCCTTATACATCTGCAACTATCCCCTGATATGCCCTGATTGCTTCGGCGGTTTGTTCGAATCGCCTCTTTACACCCCACTGCGCTGTGGCCCAACGTCCCAACTGAGGCATGCACGCGGGTTTGTTGCCCCCTGACCGCATGCGGGGCACGCCTTCCCACTCCTTCCCTCTCCCTGGTGCGGTAAGAACATGCTTGTCTTGCCATGGAATACAAGCTCGGGCCAAAAAGGAAGCAATCTGATGATATATGTATATGTATATATAGACAAGATAGTATTATGTAGATGTGTCGATATGTGAGTATGGCCACGTAACAGACGCTCGTTTGGCTCTTGCCAGTTCAAAGTATAAAGGCGAAACAACAAGGAAGTGCCAGCTTTCTGAGCTCCCTTTTCTAAGTCAGCCGTTTCTTGCACTCTTTGGACTGGCCCAGAACACCCGGCCTAGAACCAGGTTGGCCGCAGCCTTCTGCGAGCCTTTGCGCTCGATCTCCTGGAAAGCGGATCGAGCCAAACACAGGGCCTGGGGCGGAAAAAGCATCTTCCAAACTACCCGTCTTGGAAGCCAGTGCGGTGCTAAACACAGCTAAACCATGGCAACTGGACACGGACGTGTCGCATGCAAAATACATCTGGAAGCTGTTCTCAGTGATGCAACTGGTACGCCTGCTGCCTTGCCTGCTGTGCCAACTGTGCATGGTCCCATTGGCTGACCGTGATGCATCCGCCGCCAATCACCAAAGCATTGGCTCCGGCTCTATCCGACCTTTGCTCGCAGCATCTCTCAGCTACTTCTTACCCGGTGTTTACAAAACATGACACGCCAGCTCTGGTCACAAGATCCATCTTCCCCAAGCCACTGGCCCGCGGGATGGCAATGCGCATTCAAGCGTTGGAGGCTTGCTTGGCGTCCCTTGGCAAAAACAAGCATTCTGCTTCACTCTTACGGGTTACCTGGAATCAAGACCCCTGCCATGAATCAAGCCAATGAGGACGAGCAGAATCGGCAACAACCTCCCCCAAAATGCATCCGTACGCCTCTCGCATTGAACCCCCCCACAGGCTCCTGCATCCTAGTCAGGAGTCTGCGGTTCTCCTTCTCAATATTGGCATAGCGCTCCTGCATCGTTGCAAGTGGCAACGCGCAACACAGACCTGCTTCACCTTACCAACTGTGAACCGTGCTGATGCTCCGTGCTGATGCTGCCCCTCCCCCCTCCCCCCTGTCGCCCAAAGCCTGGAACACAGCAGTATCTCGAGTTACCACTTCTGCCACTTCTTGTTAACAATAGCGGGCCCCAAACAAACTATTATGTTTTCCCACGGCAAAAACAAGACCGTTTGAACCCCCCGTCAAGTTGCATGAGGGTGAAACATAATCAAACAAAGGCACCCCACCCCCGGACCAGGCTCAAAGCGCCTCTGTCACCTGATCCTTCTTGGCATTGCGATGGCGGGTAGGCTGCAGCTTGGTCTCCTCTCCTGCAGCTCTCAGCTACTCATCCAATCTTGCACAGAAACATCTCCCTTGCCAAAGCTGCCGATCAAAACGGCAGCCAAAGCCCCTGCAGCTTCGTTCTCAGGTCCCATGGGGCGTTCGACAAGGTGAGTTCAGTGTGTGCAAAGTGCAAAAAGAGAGCATCATGACTGCACACTTGGGAAAGTCAGAGGAGACATAGCAAAATTAGCTTTAAAGAAAAAGAGAAGAGGAGAAGGGAAATGGTGGAAGAAGAAAGAAGTGAAGAGCTTCTAGCTTGGAAAAACTTGAATGGGAACATGCATGGAGAAAAAGAGCACAGTGGTTTCCATTAAAGGACCTGTTCGTGCGATTCAGCATTTTAAATGGCACCCATCCTGCTACAAATGGCTGAATTGGGCATTGCAAACCATTCTTGACTCCCGAAGCCAAAGCTTGGAGAACTCATGGCGCGGCAAATCAATTTGCGAGGCTACGTCTCCCCAATCTGTGACGTTTTGAGGTCCAGTGGCCCGTGTGGCCGTGTCTTGGCCTTGAGGCGCCCCTCAGCCCCAGGCGCACGGACCACTGATTGTTGATCTGCGACCTGGACCTGGCGATGGCCACCGACTTGCGTCACTTGTGTCACCCTGCCTTTGCAAAGAGTCAGGGATGGTGGGGACAACTTGCTGCATGACTTGGTGTCAGAAGGTGCATGGCAAACCCAACACACAAACATCAAAAACAACGCGAATTGATTTCACAAGCAGGCGCATGCAGTTCGTCTGACCCTCCAGCTGCTTACGAAATTTACAGAAGAGCCCGGAAGCCCTAATAAGAAGGTCCACGAACTCTGTTGGCAGTGATCCTGCACATACTCTGTCACTGCCCCTGCTCTGAAGAAGCCACGACCCCTGCACAAACCAGGGGTCAAGCACGCAAATTGCAAGCATAAGAATATCCTCAAATGGCAAAGGCGATAAGAAGCAATTACATGCGCAAACAGTTCATGAAACAATGAGACAATGAGTCTGCTCCCGATCAAATTGTGACCAGGATCTACAAAGTAAAGCCAAGAAGGCTGCGAAACACAATTCTTGGAGAGCAAGCACTGTGGCTCAACCAGCTTAACCTCTCCCGAATTTGAAGGATGGCAATATGCACCTCGCATCCTACCCGTGGGCCTGGCAACCTTGTGCTTGTGGGCCTGGCCAAGGAAGACGTTGCGAAAAGGATGGAACCCACGAGGGCTGTTCAGTAAACGACCTGAGAAACGGACCGAAAGCTAGCACCAAGAGCAGAGCTAATGCTGTTGTCGCTCGCCTGCTTGAGAAAAGTGTTCTTGGTAGGTATCGTCCAGGGTGTTCTTGAGGCTTGCGAAGCAGAAATGTCGAAATGGAAAGTCCTTGAACGGGCGGCAAAACATAACATGTAGTGGCAGCATGGGGCAAACCGGTCAAGCCCGGAAAGGGCGGGAGTCGAATCACCCAAAATGTGCCCGATGCGGCAATGAGCCCCCTGCCCATACACTTCAAGCAAAAAAGACTGCTCTGCTTTTTCACCCTGCGTCTTGGCGAGGCTTTTAAAACCGCAGCACCCCTGATGCACGGGGTGCTCAGCGTAGGGAGAAGGACTGCCACCTAACTCAGGCATTGCTGAAAACAAACTCCTCGCAAAGTCTAGCAACATGGAATGCAACAAAACCCCGCCAGCAAGACCAACCTGTTTGCATCAGTTTCCGCAGCATTTGCTAAGGGGGAGATCTGTAACGTATTGTGAACGTGCAACATGGCATATACGTTCTACATGTATAGGTGCATGTGCCAAAATTCCTTCGAACGCCGACGAGTTGCGAGTCGGCTTCAAAAAAGTGAAGTGTTCCATGTGCAGGACCCTCAAGCCCTTCTAGTGTGGGCTGAAAGGTCAGTCAGTAGATCTGCTCTGAGGGCTGTGCAGTTGCCAAGCCCCATGCCAAGTGCCAAATGGAGAGATTGCCAGGAGCCTTCCCAACTCGCAGCTTCGGGGCCAGCAAAATTTGGTTTGTATACAGCCCCTGACATGGTCACGAAAGCAAGTCCGGCAACTGTTTGAAGCACTCGCTCGCCTCAAGGTGCCGTTGTCGCACAAAGTCCTCCACGGCTTCGTTGCAGGCAGGCCTCGCAAGCCGGACGCCAATGGCCATCAGCGGCCGGCCGGCTGAACCAAACTTCTAACTCCCAACAATCCGAGGATCAGCAAGCTACCTGGGGACAAACCTCTGGTCACCCAATTGTCGAGACAATGATGAATCTCCCAGCCTATGAGGATCGATCCTGGCCGAGGCACATCAGAATCCGGCAAGCGCAAAGGGAATGTTCAGTATGGCATGCAACAGGGAGGGGAGGTTGGTCGCGCCAAACTCATGCAGTCACAAGGACCTCTTGTTTCTTGAATCGGGCGTTTGTTGGCCTGAATAAAGTGCTTGATGCAGCTTACACGTTCTCAATCAGACCCCAGAATGGGAAAGAAACGTACCCACATCCCTCCCAGCGAAAAGATGCGCAAAGCCTCGCCAGGCTTTTGCCCTTCTTTGCGCAAGCCAGGAGCAAGAACATAATGTGGTGACAACTAGCGTGGGGAAACAACCCGTCCAGCTTGGACAGCAAACACGGTAGAACGCACGGAACTGTCCAAGCAACGCCCGGTTGACGGCGCGCCCGGCGCCATTTCCTGGCGCGCAGGAAATGATTGACTGCATCGTACGAACAGCCCCGAGGCAGCCCTTTGTTGCACATCAACCTGAGCAAAATTACCCATGTAGTTTTGCCATTGTGGCTAGATGCTTCTACACAAGCCAACCCAAGGAAGTCCCAATTCAAGGATTGGTTGTTTGGCCGCCGCCAGCTACAGGACGGAAAGTGCACGCAAGGCAACCAACCTTCCTTGGATGACACCCTGCAGACTGCTCTATGTCGACCTAGCCTTTGCACAACTTCCACATCAAGTTCCCCCCGTCAGTGTTGCAACTCAGCGTTTGGCTGCTGCAAGAAAGCAATTCCCGCGCGCCTTCGAGAACTATGGTCTGAGCCCCATCTATCTGGAGCCGGAACATTGTTTGACCACACATAAATTGTGGGCTGTAGTTTGAGGCTGCCCAATGCGCAGTCCGGCCAGTCAGCAGACCAAGCGGCAACCAGCAAGCGCTAAAGTTGTGTGCCTCTTTCAAAAAAAGTTGGAAGGAGGCCCCTGGGACCTCCAAACCGCCAAAGGCGTCGGCTTTAGACGAGCGCATGCGGTCCAGTTGAGGCCCCGCGGTTGCCCAGTTACTTCTGTGAAAGTCACACATTGCTGAGAACTCGCCCGGCGAAGTACTCGACCCTTGGTCAACTTGACGCCAAGCACGTTGCCGGGGCAATCTTTGCAACAAAAGCTTCCACCAAGGGACGATCAAGAACCAAGGAAACCACTCCATGGCTTGCCGGGTGAACAACGCGTCTTTGCCACTA